AAATATATATATAAATAATATATATATATATATGATATGATACACCTGACTAGAAATATGTACCTAAGAAATATATACTTAGTTTAATTTCATCAGCCAACATCTATTATTACGAAAAATATAGCTGTTCCTTGGCAATCGTGAAACAGTGTAGTTTTCGAATTTAGTGTCGTTAAAACATTTCAAATAAGGAATGTAAAATTTTCCTCTGTTATAATTGAGAAATATGTTATGAAAAGAAAAAATTAACCATAGTGAAGCTGGCTCCATTTAAAATATTAAAAAGCATCAGGTTAAGCAAATATAGTCTATTACCATTCTATGTGGTAAAAGGCATAGGTATAAGAATAAGCGAAAAATTAATATAAATTATGTGTTAAACATAAACTGTAAATTCTTTTGATAAATGTACTTTTCGGTGCTGCATTTTTATTAAATGTGTGAATAAATAGAGTTTCTAATTAACTAAAAAAACAGAAAAATTATGGAACAAATTATTTAAAAGTCGTAAATTTTAGTCTTAATTACCAGTTTTTTTAAAAAAAAAATCAGAATTGGCATTATCACAAAAATATGGTTTTTGACACCAAAAAATTTTTTACAATGTTATTTGCTGTTATAACTATTTTATTCTATGCTTGTGCTTCTCTTCTAGGATAATTTTTGCATTTTATTGTTTAAATTCCTAGTTCATTCGATCATTTAGCAACAATCATTTGAATGAAATTACGTTGCATTTTTTAAATTTCACTTACCGCTTTCGAAGGTCATTTTCATCGGGTTTTTCGAAAATTAAAAATATAAATTATAAATACGAAGCAAAACATATTTTCAATCAAAAAGTTTATTAAATTCTTCATAAATTATTAGAAGAGATCAATATGAAGACTTTATGTTCACAAATAAATACTACAGACCACACATTAAGGCCTTCATTTAAAAACAACATAATTTACATGTCAACCATTCCACAAACAGCGAACAATATAGAAAAAACACATTAAGCAGAAATTAGCAATTAAAGTGAAAAAAACACCTATTTCAAAATTTCAATTTTTTTTTATTATAAAATATGAAAGCGCTGCAAAGAATCAATTTTTTTTCCTATCCAAATGAAACATAGAAAAAAAAAGAAAACTGGCCACCATGTTCAAAAACAAATTTTTTATGTTAAAAAAATATATATATATGTACTATGATATTTCACTACTTTTTTTCAAATTAGTTTTTCATTAATTTATGTCAAAGAATTAAAAACTTAAGTGTAATAAAAATGGTTGAGAACAAAAATGCGAATAATATAAATAAGAACATTGCAAAAAAATAAAATTTGTTAAATTGCCAGGCATTTTATATCAGTGAATACTTTTTCCTGATCCACTACGACTGATCCCTGAAAATGGGCCGGATGATCCACCACCAGTTCCTCCCATGCCACCATATCCACCCATCCCTCCTCCGATTCCACCTCCTAAACCACCCATTCCACCTCCTAAACCACCCATTCCACCTTGCCTTCTCATTCCACCAATATTTCCTCCATAACTTCCAGATCCAGCTAAAACACAAAAGCATTTAATTCATTAATGGGAAGTTTCTCATGATCAGTAACAGAATAAATAAAATCTGATAAATATTTTACCCGGAATCCCATAGAAAAATTTCTAAACTGTCAAAAACTTTCTTATGATCAATAGATATAAATTTTTGTGAGATTAATGGTTAAAAGTTTAATTTATCGAGAACTTTGTGATAATTAATGTAAACACATTGTGAAAGAATTATCTGCTAAATTTTTTTTATATTATCAAATAATTAAATTTTGCCAATAACTAAAAAATGTAAATTTCTAAATAATTAATTTGTTTAGCATATAATCAACAATAGCATAAAGTTTCTAATATGTATGTTTCTAAAATGTATATTCGGTTGAATGTACAATTTGCAAAAGATAAAACGGACCACCCTGAAAAACTTTTGATATAATGATCGAAATCTTCACGTTCTTCGCATTTCAGGACTCAAGGTGGTGATATTAAATATTCTTATTGATTAGAGCAGTTGATATTTTAAGGTACGAAATCAGACACAAAAGCGTACTATCTCTGAACTAATATACTTTTTTCCAATGGATTTGGATTTCTGACCGCCAAAATATAGGAGATAGTTGCAATCTGGGAGAATGATTTGGTTGGAAAAGCAGACCAAAGTTTGGACTCTTTAATTTTAATTTCACTTTTTACATATTTCTCCATATCGTGAGAGCTTTTAAAGAGAATCGGAAAACTTTTGCTCACAATTAAAAAAATTCCTAAGAAAACTCCGTACAAAATAAAATTTTAAGTAAATATTCATTATTTATTATTATTTTTATTATTTTATTTAATTATAGTCGAAAAACTTTTAAATTGTAAGGTAGATAATTTTTACATCATTTTAAAAAATGCAATTTTCATTGAAAAAATACAAAATTTGAGATAAATAATCGCAATAGAAATAATTCAAATAAATAATCATAATAATAATAGTAAAAGATACAAAATCGGTCAAATCAAATCGCCTTGAAAAAATAGAATTCTAAAAAAAAAAAAAAAAAAAAAAAAAAAAAAAAAAAAAAAAAAAAAAAAAAAAAAAAAANAAAAAAAAAAAAACGAATTTCAAGTTACAAATTTTCAAACTCAACTAATTGGGAGTTACACTACTCTTTTAGAACTAAGTTTTTATTTCGTAAATAAAAAACTTAATATTTATTTGCGAAATAGAAATCTTGCGGCAACGCGCAAGAATACTGCTATTTGGAATCTTAGATTTAACGCGCAAAACTCAGATTAAACTCAGTGTCGAGACAGCCCACAAAGAGCCAAGGCCTACTGTCCCCATCTCAGGTTTCTTGATCTTGAGTTCTGGGGTGCAGGAACAAATGATCCGAACGCGGAACGCCGTGTTTAATCCCCAAGCGTGCTTGGTACTCATTTCATCAACCCACTGAAGGGATGAAAGGCTGAGTAAAACTTGCCCATCACGAGCATAGAACCCAGCACCTGTGAATGAAAGTGCGACACGCTATCACTTTGACAACAGACGCACGGCAGTAAAGAGCCTTAGTAACTTATTTAACAATCATTGGTGTGAGCAATATGAGTGAGAGCCAATTCATAGAAGCTGAAAGCTGCCGAAAAACTTATTGTATAAGAATGAGCAAAACTTCCTATTAAACTTTACCATGATGCAACTTCTGTTTGCAGTTAACTGATAACTTCAGTTTGCAGTTAACCGTGATAACTTATAAACTGAACTAAATAAACTATAGTAAACTAATTCAATAGTTAACCATTTTTAATATAATAATTGCTTTCAGCAATAGAAAAGTTTTAATTTTACTTTAAATAATAATAATTTCAGTCAAAATCGTCATTTGCATTACCTCGTCTAGTGTATTTTTCTTGTATACCTGCAGGTGCTGGTTCGGCTATCATGTTCACATCAGCAGGACTTTCTGGTTTACTGTCTGTGCCTGGTTCATTGGTCTTCACTGTAGCTTGGAATCCAGCTGCACCGGCTGTGTAGTGAACCTGTCTGTACAGTCCTTGAGCATCAGTGTATCCATAAGATCCTTGAACATTCCCGCTAGAATCTCCCTGCTCAGTTCTAAAACTGTTTGCACCCATGCCATTGGCTTGGTAGTTGAAGTTGTATGGTTTAGGCTTAGACTAATAATACAAGAAAAATCAATGTAAAACAAATGTCTCTTAAAATCTCATTGAAATTTGAATCATTTTATAATCATCTCACCATTTCTCCTCCAGATCCATAAATTCCAGCATTTCCTCCGTAACCTCCCATTCCACTCATGTCTCCTCCATAACCTCCCATACTTCCACCATAACCACCAGATCCAGTTGGGCCGACCCCATAGCTTTTAACTGTACAAAATAATCCAATAGCAAAGATGACGATCTGAAGGAGTAAACATTTTAAATGAAATAACATGTTTTTATAATCATAAAAAAATTCAATTTATTACAAATTTTGCATTTTATACAAATTTTACATATTATTTTTCAAACCTGTATATATATATATATATATATATAT